TGGGGGCCATGGCCTGGGGAGGAGCTGGGGGCCATGGCCTGGGGAGGAGCTGGGGGGCCATGGCCTGGGGAGGAGCTGGGGGCCATGGCCTGGGGCTGCCCCCAGCCCAGCTAACTCCACATGACTCTTGATGGGAAACCCGAGTGGTGGACACCCTGTGACTCCATGCCCACCGGCCTGAGGGGATGTCAGGTGGCGAATGGAGGTGGGGTCTGCACCTTCCTGGGGGTGGGCACTGAGGGTTCCAGTGCCTGGTGGGAAGTCCACCGAGGGGTGCTGAGGTCTGGGCTCCCCGACAAGGAGGGTCCTGTGCAACCCAGGTCTCCCTCCTTTGGGGATGGGGAGAGCTGTGCTCAAGGTCATGCGATCTAGGAGGTGGCCTTTCTCAGAGGGACTGAAAGCTGGGCCCTGCTCAGCTGCTGGGCCCTAGGGGCTCTGAGGTGCTTGGCCACCCTGTCTGAGTCACCTCCAGCCTGGGCCGGCCTGGTCAAAACTCCCTGTCCACAGGTCAGCACAGAACTGGGCCCTGGGACCCTGACGCTGCCGCCGCCTCAGGTACAAGAGGCCCGGGGAGGGTCTGGGGGCGGGGACGGATGGGAGGGGCTGACCAGGGGCTACAGCCTGGCGACGGGAGTGATGGAGAACCCGCAGCTTAGGGACTCAGGGAAAGGGGGGGCTCCTTGGGAGTCGGGAGGGGGCTGAGCAGATAGAAGGAGCCCTGGGAAGGGCTTGGCCGCCAGGGCGCAGGGCTCTGTGGGTGGCGATGAGGGACCCAGGCCTCAGCGGGCAGTTCGCAGAGGGCGCGGATGAGGGGACAAGGCTCCGGGGGTCCGGGGTGATGCTCTGCGTGGCCAGGCAGGGGTGGGGCGGCCCGGAGCTGTCCATGGTGGCCGCTGGATGCCCGGGGACACACAGGGCCCGGCGCGGTGGCCCGGGAGGGTGGGGCCGGAACAAAGGGATCATGGTGGCCTGGGGACCCCTCCCCACCCTCGGTGGCCGCGGCCGCCCCGCCGCCTACCTGGGCCGCTGTGGTCCCCGCTGCTTGCTGCTGTCCGCGCCGCCGCAGTCCCGATGTCCCCGCCCCAGCCGCGCTCCGCCCCGCCCGCCCCGCCCGCGGGGACCCGGGCCCGGGCCGATGCAGCCCAAGGTCACCGCCAAGCCCGCCCTGGGTGTCCACCGGCCGCGGGGGGCAAGCGGAGCGCGGGGCATCGGACATCCACACCCACCCGCACCACGTGGCCGCCTGCACCCCAGGGGGCGCGGGTGGGCGACAGAGCCCGCCATGTGCGGTCCTGCAGCCACGGTGGACGATGGTCGTGGTCACCCCAACTGCAAAGAGGGAGGGATGGGGACGGGGGGGGGGGTGCGTGGTCCAGGCCAGGTCAGCAGGGGCAGAGGAGGGTGATGGAGAGGGTGTGAGCTGAGGACACAGATCTGCATGAAAAAAGATGTCAGCCAGACTGGAGAGGCCGACGCTGTGAGTTTAAAGGCAGAGTGGGCTACAGAGTAGAGACCCCTGCGGGGGAAGGAAGAAAAGGAGAGACAGAGACAGAGAGACACAGAGACAGAGAGACACAGAGAGAGACAGAGAGACAGAGACAGAGAGACAGAGAGAGACAGACAGAGAGAGAGACAGAGAGACAAAGAGAGAGATAGAGAGAGACACAGAGACAGAGAAAGAGACAGAGAGACAAAGACAGAGAGAGAGAGATAGAGAGAGACACAGAGACAGAGAGAGACAGAGACAGAGAGAGAGAATGAAAAAGCAAAATCGCACGAAGAAAGCCGTTGTTGGGATTGGAGCTCACAGGGCACAGTGCTCGCTTGCTCGCCCACCCTGGGATCTGTTCCCAGCACCAGAGGCCCGCGTGGTGGTGCCGTGGTGGTGCCGTGGTGGTGCCAGCCAGTCATCCCAGCTCTGGAGGCACAGGCAGGAGGGCCAGGAGCCCAAAGTCCGCCTCGGCCACATACTTCCCGGAAAATGTGAGACCCTGCCTCAGACAGAGAAGAGAAGAGACACCCCCTTTCTTCTGGTGTGCTTCAGGGTACAGCGCTTGCCCAGCACGCCAAGGGTCTGGCTCCACCACGTGCGGCCAGCCTTGGGCCAGTGGGAGGGCTCAGGCAGTGAAGGCGCTTGCGGCCGAGCCAGTTGGTCTGAGTTGGATCCCCGGGACCCACTTGGTGGATGGAGAGAGCCAACTCCCAAAACTGTTCGCTGACCTCCACACACAGACAGAGAAATCAATAAATAAAATGTAATTTAAAATTTGTCCTAAAGCCAAGCAGTGGTGGCGCACGCCTTCAATCCCAGCACTGGGAGGTAGAGGCAGGCGGATCTCTGTGAGTTCGAGGCCAGCCTGGACTACAGAGCATATTTCAGGACAGGCACTAAAGCTACGCAGAGAAACCCTGTCTTAAAAAAACAAAAAACAAAAGTTTGTATAAATTTCTGTCTCTGTTCCCTAAAACCTGACCTGCCCCAGCGCATGACCTTGACTTGTTTTGGGGAGCACCCAACACCCAACACCCCCCAACCCTCTCTGACAGCTTCAGGCGCATGGCGACCGCTGGTTTTGTTTGTTTTTAATTTTTCTGTACTCCCTTACGGCTCCATTGTCTTCTGTAAACTGCTTTGAAAGCAGTCATCGTTTTACTCCTTAAAAGGGCCTCAAGAGGAGCTGGAGAGATGGCTCTGTGGTTAGAGCACTGGCTGCTCTTCCAGAGGACCCGGGTTCAATTCCCAGCACCCACACAGCAGCTCACTACTGTCTGTGACTCCAGTGATCTGACACCCTCACACAGACATATATGCAATGTGCATGATATAAAAATAAATAATAAAAAAAAAAGGAAATAGACTCAGGCCGGGTGGTGATGGCGCCCGCCTTTAATCCCGGCACTCGGGAGGCAGAGGCAGGAGGATCTCCGTGAGTTCAAGGCCAGCCTGGGCTACAGAGAGAGACCCAGGACAGACACCAAAACTACACAGAGGAAAAAGAAGAAGAAATAGACTCCGGTCTGCTCTCTCTAGCCTGACATAGGAGGCAGTCACTGGCTGGCTCTCTGGTGCACCCCAATAAAAACCGAGCTTGCTTTAAGAAAACATTTTTTTTTTTTTTTTTTTTGTGACAGGGTCTTGTTATGTAGACCAGGCTGGTCGGGAGCTCACAGAGATCTGCCCGCCTCTGCCTCCTATCACTGGGATTAAAGTTGTGTGCCACGGTGTCCCACTTAGCCCAGCCTAAGGCCGGCCTCTGCTGGGTCTCAGCCGCCTGGACTCACCTCCTCCTTCCCTGTTCAGTTCTAACGCGGCTCCTTCCTCCCGGTCACAGCCCAGTGTCGTGGTCTTCAAGGATCTCCGTGGCCCGGTCCTCTTTTCCTGTTTGTGCCCCAACCGTCCTGGGGTGCCTGCAGCTCTCACCCCAGGAAGTCACCTCCTTCCTACTCTGGCCCAGGAGGGGGGTGTCCCTCAGAAAGCGTCTCAGTTCCCCGTACCCTGGCTCCGGAGATGGAGACAGCCTGGTGGGAAGGGAGGGGTCTGTTCTGGATGACCCTGTCCCACAGAAGCACCCCAGCTAGTACTGCCCTCAGCCCTCAGAGTAGCTGGGAACAAACCCACCCACGGAGTGGGGTCCTTTCTCGGGTGCTGAGCACAGGGAGGAGGGAGCCTTGGGGCTGGCAGTCTGGGACAGTCACCTGGGTCCCCTGAGCGACTGGCCGGGGGCTCTAAGCCCAGCTCCGGCCAGTTCCCCGGCTGCTTCAGGCGCTGGCCCAGGCTGAGTCACACGGAGGAGCCTCCTGTCCATACACCCGTGCTATTTATAGACGCCGGGCCTGGCTCCGGGCATCAGGAGCCACTGGAGACGGTTCCTGCCTCCTTCCTGCAGCAGCGCCTCTGTGTGGCCGGGGGCGGGGGGG